CAAACATCTTATCTATATTCATGGGTACTCAAATTAGATCCATGGTCTCACTCTTGTTAATGTTCTTCTTGATTCTGACCGTCCCTGTTCGAGCTCAGAGAACACCAACGGAGACTCCAACAACAAAGTTCACTTTCCGAGGTTTTATCGGAAACCAATCAGAGATTTTAACGACAGGAGCTGCGACGATCAAAACTGACGGTCTATTGAGACTCACCGATCGAAGCTCAAACGTCGTCGGAACAGCTTTCTACCACAAACCGGTGAGATTGCTCGAGACTAACGGAAATTCCACGAACGCCACGGTTCGTTCCTTTAGCACTTCTTTTGTCTTTGTCATAATCCCTTCAAGCTCAAACGACGGAGGCTATGGCTTCACCTTCACGCTATCTCCGACCCCTAATCGTCCCGGAGCCGAATCCGAACAGTATATGGGATTACTAAGCGCAGAGAACAATGGGGATTTGACGAATCATGTTTTCGCGGTTGAATTCGACACGGTACAAGGATTCAAAGACACGGTACAAGGATTCAAAGACGGTGCTGATGGAATAGGCAATCACATCGGTATTAATTTCAACAGCCTCGCATCGGAAGTTCAAGAACCGGTCGGGTATTACGACAACAACGCTCCTGACCGTGAAGAGGATTTCCAGCTTCAGAGCGGCAAACCGATTCAAGCGTTTTTGGATTACGATGGACCAACACAAACGCTGAATTTCACCGTTTACCCGGCGAGTTTGAAGTCTAGACCAATAAAGCCTCTGATCTCACAACTACCGGTTCAGAATTTGTCGCAGATCGTGCAAGAAGAAATGTATGTCGGATTCACTGCAGCCACAGGGAGGGATAAGTCGAGTGCTCATTACGTGATGGGTTGGAGTTTCTCAAGCGGCGGCGATGGACCGATTGCGGAAACGCTCGAACTCTCGGAACTTCCTCGTGCGCCGCCGAATACGGCGAAAAACAGAGGATACAATTCTCAGGTCCTCGCTCTGATCGTGGCTCTATCAGGCGTAACGGTGATCTTGCTTGCTTTACTCTTCTTCTTCGTGATATACAAAAAGCGATTGCAACAAGAAGAGATTCTCGAGGATTGGGAAATCGATCATCCTCACAGATTTCAATACAAAGATCTCTACTCCGCTACTGATGGATTCAAGGAGAATCGCATCGTCGGAACCGGAGGATTCGGAACCGTTTTCAGAGGAAAAATCTCATCATCTTCTTCTGATCAAATCGCCGTGAAGAAGATAACTCCGAATAGCATGCAAGGTGTTCGAGAATTTGTCGCAGAGATCGAGAGTTTAGGAAAGCTAAGTCATAAGAATCTGGTCAACCTTCGAGGATGGTGCAAACACAAGAACGATCTCTTGCTGATTTACGATTATATCCCCAACGGAAGCTTAGACTCGCTGCTCTACAGTAAACCGAGACAAAGCGGCGCCGTTTTGTCGTGGAACGCGCGTTTTCAAATCGCGAAAGGGATCGCGTCTGGGCTATTGTATCTCCACGAGGAATGGGAACAGATCGTGGTTCACAGAGACGTGAAACCTAGCAACGTTCTGATTGACGATGACATGAACCCTAGATTGGGAGATTTCGGACTCGCGAGGCTTCACGAACGCGGATCACTATCGTACACAACAGTCGTCGTCGGTACAATTGGTTATATGGCCCCTGAGCTATCCAGAAAGGGTAAATCGTCGTCAGCGTCTGATGTTTTCGCGTTTGGCGTTTTGCTTTTAGAGATCGTCTCAGGGAGAAGACCGACTGATTCCGGTACCTTCTTTTTAGCCGATTGGGTTATGGAATTGCACGCGAACGGCGAGATTCTCACTGCGGTCGATCCGAGACTCGGGTCTTGTTACGACGTTGGAGAGGTAAAACTTGCTCTCGTTGTCGGATTGCTCTGTTGCCACCAAAGACCGTCGTCTCGGCCTTCGATGAGAATGGTGCTAAGGTATATGAACGGAGACGAAGATGTTCCAGAGATTGATGACAGTGATTGGGGATGTTCGAATTCTTCGAGAAGCGAATTCGGATCGAAGATTGAAGGGTATGTTTCGTCGGAAAAAGGTTCGAGCTCAATCGCATCTTTCTCCGTGACGAGGGATTCGTCTAGTTCTGTAATAAGTGGTAGATAGTTTGTGCAAATTCACACA